GTTGTCTGCGTCGGTGTGCGTGGGTGGGTCCGGCAGCCACTAATTCCGCCGTAAAACTTGCAGGGACCCCCGCTCAAAGTCCCACTCGGCCAGAAAAGGTATCTCGAGGGCCTTTTCTCTCAGGCTAATTTTTTCCACAGAGTCGTCCGCAAGAGGCATCCTCCACAGGCAGGGTGAAAGCACAATGTGAGCCTCAAAATTTTAAGAAGGGAGCTCATAGGATGAGGCCCTCTGCACATGCTCGCTTGTGCTGAGCCCAGGCCTTTGGAACGGATTCTGGGGCTTCCTTTAACTTCTGGCAGATGCTACGTATTCTTCAAATGAAAATCCATATACTCCAGAACTTTACCGCCAGTTTTTTTTTTCAGGGACCCCTTGCCTCTCCCCACCAAGAACATATGGACTCAGCACCAATCCCCATGTCATGGATCACTCTGCCATCCGTGGCAAACCTGTTGAGCTCTTTAAAACAATGATGTCAATTCTTCATCTCATTGTTTCAGCACTCACTGTTTCCTGTACTGTAACGTAATCCGATAGTCTTTATCTGAAGGTCAGATCTTAACACAGTTCTGGATAATTAAATGATAATTCCTTCCTAGTAATTGACATCCATTGCTTGCTTCTGATGTTTTCCACCTGAAATTCCTTTTTAAGAATTGGTTACAGTTGAACAAGGCTCAGAGAAAGGGCTGCTGTTTTTTAAAAATGTGTGGCCTTTCACTGATGACCAGGAAAGTTGAACAGTGCAACTTTTTTTTATCAGAATTCCTTCCTAGAAAGATAAAAGCTAACATTTTTAATTCTAGCAGAGCATTCATTTTTATTCTGACATTCCATTTTTCTTTTCCAGCTGCAGTCATGTTTTTTTCCAGTTTGCAAACCCTCTTAGTCCCCCAGAAAACAAGCTAACCAAGTTTAAAATTTATTGAACTTGCTCATGTTGTGGGCATGATAACCTTGGCGAACCCAGCTGTTCCTTTCCTCATCACTTTTTTTTTTCCATGAAAAAAATAAAAGGGGAAAATATAGCCTGGATTGACAAACTTTGCTAAGGCTGAATGTTATGTAACCCTTCTGGTTCATCCAAAATAACAATTAATTTCAAAGCACAAAGAAGGCTTTTGCAATGCTGCTTTGCAATGCTAGAGTGTGAGGCAATAAAAGGTGGCAACTTTTATTCTTTAGCAAGTGGGACAGAGACATCATGTTATGCCAGTTCTCTGGGGTCAACCCTTTTTTTTTTTCCAGGCACAATTTAAATTGCTCTGGCTTTGTTTCCAAGCTTTTTGTAACTCCGTATTCATCTCACAGCAACTCTGTGGAGTGGCTCTCCCTAAGGAGTTTGATCAACTTTGGGGACTGGGAGGTGCTGCACAAATTGGAATGGGAAGACCCAAGTAGCAGGGGGTCCTAATATGTGTTTGATGAGCTATCCATGTAGCCCTAGGGGTCTTCCTCATGTCCCCCCTATTGCAGCACAAACATGCCCCACTAGCTGTTCTTAGATGACATGTCTTCATGACATTGCCGTTGTCTCGTTCCCGCCCATCAAGGAGGCAGCTTAAACTCTTCATTAGTTGCTCCAGTTTGAAATAGTGTTTTCTTTCTCCTAGCATGCAGCAATTTTTGCCACAGACATGACCTAAGAACCACCTAGAGCGGGGTGTCTCAAACTTGGCAACTTTAAGATGTGTGGAGTTCAACTCCCAGAATTCCCCGGCCAGCATGTGGAAGTTGAAGTCCACACATCTTAAAGTGGCCAAGTTTGAGAAACACTGTCCCAGAGCGTGTGGTTGGTGAGGCAGTCAGGGGTTGAGATCTGCTCAGCTCCTGTTGGCTGTGTTCAACTCCTGAAGACACACACCAGCAGGCCGGGAGCTGGGCACTATCCACCATGGCTGATGGGACTTGTTCTACAGGATTCCTGGTTTTCCAGAGCCATCTGGACACATGATGCCTGACTGGCATTTCCTGAAATACTTGTTAGGTTTTACAGGGATTCCTTATCAGGGTGGTCTGCAGGGTGTGGTCAAAAAAGTCAAGACGGTGTATTGACAGCCATGACGAAGTAATCAAAGCAACGCCTGTTTTTTCTGTGCACAGATTCTCAATATAATCAATATTCTATTTTCAGTATCATGCTGGGGGGTTCCCATGACATACTGAATCATAAATTAACTACTGAACTCTGCACGATGCTCTAAGCTAAAATACGTTGGGCTGATTTGTTGTGGTACCCTATATTCTTCTAGACCAGTATTTTTCAAACTTGCCAACTTTAAAATGTGTGGACTTTAGCTCCCAGAATCCTCCAGCCAGCATTCTGGGATTTGAAGTCCAGACATCTTAAAGTTGCCAAGTTTGAAAAACACTGTCTAGACATTGGAACTCAGGAACAACATTTGATTCTGCTCTCTCCTCTTTTAGAAAGGGTTTCAAGTCTCTTTGTAATTGGGCCACTGGAATTATTTCTAATGGCAGATTTATTATTGATCAATGTATTTTAAATGCGTTATTCTTTAAAAAAAGCAATCCTTCCATATTTTATTTTCTTATGTCATGTTTCTGATGCCATGTTGAGCATCATTTGCTAATGGATAGACAGCAGGCAAACTTAAGCCTTAGTACTGAAGTCTTGATCCTTTTTCTCAAAAGATTGAGGGAGGGACTTATCTGAAGGGGTCAGGAATCTTCTTCATGCTTAAAAGCAGGGATTCTTCAGCAGATCCATATCACTTCCTTGATAAATAAGCAAGGAAAGGAGGAAGAAAAATAGTTGCAAACCCCATAAGTGATCTTCTTGACCTATAGCAGAGCTGAGCAAATTGCAGGCTGTATGCAATTTTTCCAAAGACTTTGGGAAACGTCTGATGTCTCTTACCAGTTTGCTGCCAACGTAAGCTTTCGGTGGAGTTTTTAATCCCAACTGAACTTCATGATGGAAATATGCCAAAGCAAATGGCAGATTAAGTCTTCTTGGATACCTTTCCTTTCTGAAGTAATTCTTGCTGATGCTACTTCCCGTCATTCTTCCGCAGCAAATAAATCCTCCTCATGATGTGATTTAATAAAGAGAAACTTTACTCAACTCTTTAGAAAGCAGCCATATCGTGCTGTCACTCACTCCGTTCCTGCCAGGTTCAAGTAACAAAACAAATGAGCTCGTCTGCAATTACTTCTTTGCCTCAGTTTTGCCCAGATAGGCACACGAGTGGAATAATACCTTTTGCAATCCTAGGTGACAGAAATGCAAAACATCTTTTGCAATCCTGGTGACAGAAATGCAATGCAAATTCATGCAAATGCAAACAGAAAACATGAACCCAAGTTCTCTGTTAAAAGCACACACTGATGCTCCAGTCAAAGAGCACCCCTCTTACTGTTCCTAGAAAGCAAAATGTTTTCTGATTTTAGCCTAAAGTAGCAGCTTTGTGGGATTGCCAAGAATTGCCACATCCTGTCCATATGTCTTTTCATTGGGGTGTTGATCTGGGGTTATTAGAGGGGTGTTTGTGCTTATTTCCATACTAAATTTTCCCCTTTTGATTTCTGCAGCTTAGTCTCTCACTGAAGAGTCAGGGGCAACCTAATGCTGCTGACATTTTAGAGAGTTGCATTCGTACTTAATTTCCAGCAGGCACTGCTGAAAGTTGAGGCCATGAACTGGCCCTCAATGGGTCAGCCATTAGGTGTTATCAACCTAATTATTGGGGAGGAAAGGAAAGAACTGGCATTTGGTTTTTTTTGTTTTTTTGACACCACAGGCTGGTGTGTGAAATCCTTAAGTGAGTCGCATGGCACCAGCGAGGTCTTTCCAAATGCAAGAGGACAACTTTATTCAGAAATGAAGGCAGAAAACATCCAGGACTTTCTGCGGTAAGTCTGGTACTTTGACCACCGACTACTTATTCCTTTTTATTCTTTAGGATTTGGAAAAAAAATCTGGAGTGAGATGATCAATGGGTGCCAATGTAGACAGAACTGGAGGAGGTTTACCTCCCCCACTCCCTTCTTCATGTTTCACCCTTCCCCTTCCCCTTGTGGATGTTCACCTCCTGAAAAATAAGAATATGCAAACTTTGTCACTCCAGTAATGAAATGTCCCAGGAAATTCTGTAATGTCCTTTGGATCACGGCACTCAGACCGTTCCAAGTGGGGACCAGAATATGCTTGCAGGAAACAGTTCTCTGCATAAAAAAGCAGAACATATCCATCCCTTCGATATCTTCATTGTCAATTCTAAGGCTGGTTGTTTCACCTGTTGTCATTACTTTGATTATCTTTATGTTTAAGTTTAGTCCTAATCCTTTGCATTTTGACTGCCGGGTAGTGTCATCAGCATAGCTCAGGTTATTGGAGTTTTGTCCTTCAGTTTTAAAGCCACGTTCATGTTATTTCAAGAGAGCATCTCCTTAATATTAAGAGCTTAGGTAATTTGATGTGATTTCCCTTTAATTAAAAATAAATACTGTTATGATTGCAGTCCTCTATTTAATAATATTCTACTGCTGTCATACTTGGTGTAGACACATTGGAAGTCTCTGGTGTCACACCCAAGGCTCTCAGGAGCTCCTTTGACAGGCAGAGCCTTGTATGGTGCACCTCTGCCCTAGCAGAAATATCTTTAGCCTCAGTGGGAGATGATATTTTTCCAAGGTTCAGTTAGCAGGGGTGATACAGGTATTCCTTTTGTGGCAATGCTGATATTTTGGTTAGGAATGGCACAGCTGAGGAGCCATCAGTCCCAGAATGATCAGGAAAGGATAGACAGGAAAAGAGAACTTTACTATAAGAATCCTCAGTAGCAGCTTGGTGGGATTCTGTGCCCTGATGGACAAGTTGACCTATTAATCATAGTAGATCTAGTACACCCCAGGGAGCAAGCAAGTACAAGTGATGGTTTGAACCTTTCCTGCTCAAGTTTGTGAGGAGGCGTGTTCTTTAATGGGGTCAAGATGCAGATCAGAGGGAGGTGAGTCAAATGGGGTGCCCTAGATGACATTTCAGGGCAAGGCTTGGGGGATGAGAAAGGGGGTGACCTATGTTACTTTGTCCCAATCATTTCCTCCATAGTTCTGCCCTGACAGCATGCCAGCCCTTCAAGGTAGATCAGACTAGAAATCCAATGTCATGTAGGTCAGTACTACTTTTATTGTAAAGCTATAGTAACAGAATCTTCCAAGTCTGAAGGCACTTCCCTCCTCCCTTTACCTTTGTGAGAACTAGGGAGGGGCTTTCTGAGATGTTTACTCAAGTTACATTCCTATCTTGGGCTCAGTCCTCTTTTATCTGACCATTGTTTTGGTAGTGGCTCTTCCTCCTGTCCCTCAAGGCCATTCCCTCTGTCCTCTACACAGTTCAACAGCCCTAGCTATATGGAACAATTTTCACAGCCCTTGTTTGCATGGGGGTTGGGCAGCATGTAAATTTACTAAATTATTACATCATCATCATCATCATCATCATCATCATCAATTACAGAGTGGGAAAGACCAAACAACTTGGTATCTCTGGATTTCCTTTGGTGCCTGCAAGGTTCCCCACCAGTTTTTCATTTTCTTCTTTTCTCTATTTTTTTAAGAAGCAAAGTGTCATCCTCTGGGATCATCTTCCTTTACAAGAATACTTCTGGGGCTCAAGGAGGCCCCTAAATGTTACTGGAAAACAAACCTTTGCAAACCAGAGCATGGTTTGAAAAAGTCGATCGTCCCTCCAAAAACATAAAAACAAAATCTTGGGGTGTTGGTGGAGAGAATCCTGGGAGCAGAATAGAAAGTTGTTAGGAATCTATCTCATCATTTCCTGTTCTGATGAATTAATATTTTGTGATTGGCCACATCGACCTCAGCGGCCATTGTACAAGCATGTTTCAAATGGATTACCCTGTGGGGCTGTTCTTAAGCTTTTATTTTGAGCACACAGGAACATGTTGCATGAGAAGATGAGACAAACTAGAACAATTTAACAAGGTATGCTGTAAAACCAGGGTCACAACAGCCTGGCTTCTGGGCTCACATGTGCTTCCGTCATGACATTTTGTGCTTTTTCTAGCTCTTTCACTAGATTCCCACATGTGGCTGGAACAGAGCAGAACCTTCACTTGGCAAAGCAAATCCAAAGTCAGTGGAAGGCATTTGGCTTGGATACATCAGAACTGGTTCACTATGACGTCCTTCTCTCTTACCCAAATCAAAGCTCTCCCAACTATATCTCAATTACCGATGATGGTGGAAAAGAGGTACGGAAAGCAGGATGTTCCTTCTTCTCTGGGGGAGCCACCAGGGGAAGAACTGCTTGGGGGAAACCACAGCAAATCCTGAGATTACTCTGGAAAGGCAATTCTGTTGGAATTGCTTTTTTGTTGTGTTGCGGGGGCAGAAAAATAAGCGTTTCTAACACTTTGTAAGGGTGGAAAACAAACCAGATGTGCCTCCACGATACTATTGGATGGACACAGATGGACTGCTCACCAAAATGTTACTGTGGGAAAATTATATCGTTTGGCAAAGAGCTCCAGCCTTCAGCATATATTAGAATAATCTAGTTTGGCCAGTTGGTGTATTGGACCTCTCTAGAGTTGATATTCCTACAAGCATCTGGTTGTAGGAATATCAGGAATAATGTAGAATTGATATTTCTACAAGCATTAGTGAGCATCTGTGGAGTGGTGGGTGGGAGGTTTCAGTCACCCAGTTGCAGCTGGCATCTTAACTTATTCCACCACCACTCCCCTGGACCCCCGAGCAAGAATTTATACTACATTCTCTTTTTTCCTATATAGTTTTATTAAAGAAAAAAAATTATACAGGATTAAAAACTACAGAAATGTAAAGAGACAATTAGAAAAGAGAGAAAGATATGAAAAGATAAAAAGTGAAAAACGGTAAAAGTAAAAAAAAAAGAAAAAAAAGAAATATTTAAAGAAGCGAGTGTTTGTAGCAATTACAAACGTGATTAATGCCATTTCCACCCCCCCAAATTACATAACATGGTTCCCTTCTTCCCATAAACAACCCTTTTAAATCAGTAAATCCCAAAATCACCAATTCATTTTTGTCTGTTTTCAACGAAAAGTCCATGAAGGGTTTCCACCCTTATAAAATTAGGAATTGTTCCTTCCCTAATTAAACAGGTCAATTTAGCCATTTCAGCAAGTTCTGCCATCTTCACCGTCTACTCTTCCATTGTGGGTGTTTCTGTATTTTTCCATCTTTGTCCATATAGAAGCCTCGCTGTAGTTATCATACATATAAAACCAGTCCATGAGTCTTTTCTAATTGGCTATCCATAAGTCCTAGTAAAAAAACCCTCTGGTTTCATCTGAATGTTAAGTTTTAAAATTCTCTGCATCATTGTATATATTTGTATCCGGTATTTTTTCGCTTTTTCGCAAGTCCACCATGCATGGTAAAATGTCCCTTCATGCTTTTCACATTTCCAGCAATTACAAATACCTTTATACATCTTAGATAGTCTCTCTGGTGACATACCAGGAATTTGTACTACATTGTCTTACACAGAGGTGTGCGTCTATGCGTGGAAGACAAATTGGTTGTTTTGTTCGGCATTCATTTTCAGCATGTTTTAAATAGATAAAGCCATTGTGCTATTTAACGTACAATGGCTTTATCTCATAGATGGCCACCCCTAACCAACCTTGGCTGACGGTAAATGAGCTAAATATTTTTGAGCCTGGTTAGGACGTATTTATTTATTATTTATTTGTTTTGCAATAGTTGTAAATCATGCAGTCAATTAAAGCTCTGGGCAGTGAACAACAGAGCAAGAAAATTATAGTTTTTTTTTTTTAAGTACCAGATTCATCAAAGTACAGTATGGTACAATTACATAAAGAAACGGATATCCACAATCAAGAAGCATGGTAGAATAATAGGGTTTTTACAGCCTTACAAAATGCAGAGAAGGAAGGATGTTCCACAGCTTGGGAGCTATTACTGGGGAGACCTGCTTTTTGCCCCAGACCCCATGTACTTTTCAAGGGGGAGGGGACTCTCAGAGGCCTTTTCTGCATGTTTGGACCAGTTGGGCAAAGTTGCTTTTGGCAGGACAGGGCCAGATGTATCCCGATGTAATGCTGTATAGGATTTTAGAATAACCAGCACTTTGCATTGTGCCCAGAAGCCTACTGGCAACCACGACAATAGTTAAAACCAGTGTTATGCTGCATTAAGCAGGGTTGTCTTGCCAGCAGCCTGGCTCCCGAGTCATCTCCAAGGGCAGCCCCATGTAGAGTAGAATGTGTTATAGTGGTCCAGCTGCATGGTGAGCAAGAGAGCAGTAACCATTGCTAGGGAATATGGTCTCAATAGGAGTATAGAAGATGGCTTTGAAGGACAGAGGGAAGATCCGTTACTAAGGCAATGATTGGATAATGGTGTCTTGATCCCAGACCAAGAAAGTGGTTTATGAACTGACTGTTTTTGAGGAAAATATAACCCTATTCAGAGCAGCTATTGAGGCTGATGTTACCAGTTGCCCAAATACTTATTGACAAATAGCAGCAGTTGCTCAGCACTTGATCTGAGCTTGTTTTGACCCATCTAGTCCCCAGCAACCCCAGATACCAGTTAAAGGTTCTATGGCATCTCTAACTCGGCCTGCGGTAGTAATGTATAACTGGGTGTCATCAACATACTGATGATATCTCACCCCAAAATGACTTCTCCCAGCATATTCATGTAGGGATTAAGTAATATGGGGAGAGCTGCAAACCCAGTAAAAGCCACATTGGAGTAATCAGTGCTGTCTCCCATCATTACCAACTGAAGTTGCCCTCTCAGGTAGGAGCAAAACCACCTTAAAATGGTATATCCAACTCCCAATCCCTATGGAAAGCCCACATGAATACAGTGGCCTGATAAGACAAGATGAATCCCATCAGTCAAAGTGGCCAATGCAGTTTCCATCCCGTGACAAGGATGGAAAAAAATGTAAGGGAAGAAAACAATTGCAAAATAATGCTATTGTTGCCAAGAAAACTACATGGACTTGCCAATGTAGTTACAAGAAGTGGAGCCTTACTTGAGCAACACTTTATTGATAGCAAGCTTCCCCAGAACAGATGCCCTCCAGATGAGTGGGCCTACAACTCCCAGAATTCCCAGATAGCATGGCCAATGGAATTCTGGGAGTTGTTGCTCCCATACGTCTGGAGAGCATAAGGCTAAGAAAGCCTTCTATGCGGGTAAAAATGGTAAATGTAAGTGTCTCAGTGTTAGCCAAATCCCTAAAGGAACTTTTTGCTCCCCTACCAATTTTAAAAAAATGCAGGAATCTTCAGATTCTCATAATGATAATTTTCATTGATTTCACTTTTCACTGATAAATGCTAGGGATGGCTATCTGAAAAAAAGAAAAGAGTAGAAAGAATTGACCTGTGGCTAATCCTGGTTATTTTCTTTTTTAAGTGATGACCATTCCAATACTCGAGCAAAAAGGAAAGGTACACTGCTAAATATTATATATGGCAATGATAACCAATTGGAAAGTCAATCTGATTGCATTGCAGATGTGACTTCTGACTTCTTAACTTCTGAGTAGATCTGTATGAGAGCTACATTTCTAAGTGAAATTTGAATATCAAAATCGGAACCTTCAAAGCCATCAGAATTCTAGAATCCTGCCAAGTCTGCAACCTAACTAGGCTGTCACTTCAGCTTTCTAATGAAACTTCTGTCTTTTTCTTCTGAGTAGATTTTCAACACATCACTATTTGAGCTCCCTCCTGGAGGTTATGGAAATATTTCTGGAGTGCTGCCTCCTTATAATGCTTTCTCGGCGCAGGGTGAGCCACTGGTAAGGACCTGAGCAATTGATTTGCATGAAATCTATGACCTCAAGCTGTGATGCTGGCTACCAGCTTGGCTGGCTTCAAAAAAGGTTGGACTGGTTCATGGAAGTCATGGGGATCAGTGGCTATTTGCCTGGATGGCTGTGGGACTGCCTTGAAGACCATCTGCTGGGAGACTAGTGGGCTTCCTTGTGCACTGGTTAGCCCCTGTGAGAACAGAGGGCTGGAGTAGATGTGCTGCTTATGTTCTTAGGAAGGCCAGTGTATAGAAAGAGCAGCAGAAGCTGTCAATCAAACCAAAGCCCTTGTTTGGGCTAGTATATTTGGGCTGCAAATCACCAGACAGAACTAGATGGCAGCACCTTGATTTTTGCAGCCCAGGTATGGTAGCAATACCTTATCCTACCCAACACTCAGTCTGAAAGCTGAAAGCTGTTCACGAGCAAGTAAGATTATATTGCCTCTCCTCTTATTTTGAGTACCTCTGTGTTTTGTTTCTGAACAGAGATGTTCTTTGTTGATCTTGTTTGACAGGCATATTGATTCTTCGCAAATCACTTACCCCTTTCTTAATTCACTCTGGTCAGGAATTCCACAGGTGACTGATGCCTTGTGTAAAAAAGGCCTTTGGATCAAGCCTAATCCTCCTGCTACTCTGACAGAAATTATTCTATTAATTGGTATACCATTGGGGCTAGATGTACCAGTCTGTGTATCAGGGGTACCAGTCTATGGGAGATGTGAAATGGGAAGTAAACTTTCTGTCCTGGGGAGAATGGGGGTGCTAAAAGCAAAGAAATCATCAACCAAACCATGGCCAGGGACACGTGAGACAATTACAGTAGGAGAATGCGGCAAGGATGGTCCATAGTCCATAGCTAGAGAGGTTTAAGCACAATATTGGGTCCTGAGCATCACAAGTGGCAAAACCTAGCCAACCTTAGCTAAACTTAGAAAAGTCAGCAGAGTTGAACTTGATGAGAACTTGGATGAGTGCCCACCAGGATATGCCAGGGGTGTAAACTAGACCAAAAGTTTCAGTGGCAATTGCTGTCAAGGAAAGTACGTGAATAGGTCAACAAAATCATCAGGAGTTTATTTTACTTTATAGTGAAAGATCAGAAGTCCAACAAAGTGGATTGAGACATGATTTTATGGAGGTAAACTGCAAAACACTTTTTCTTCAGCATTGCATTGTATCAGGAAGGGAACTTTTTACACCAAATCATACTAATCTCCAATCCAGATCAGCTAGTGTGCATTGCTGCTGCTCAGATTGTAGAGCTATTCAAGAATAGTGACAACTCCTAACAATATCATCATTCCATTGGGCTCTCCCTTCCACTTCTAGGCATTTCAGCCTTTGGATATTTGACTTGGAGTTTTGGATCTGTGGATTTGGGGTAAGCCAGAGAATACAGGTAGTCCTTGACTTACGACCACAATACAGATTGGAAAATTTGTTGTTAAACAGTGCTGTCATTAAGCAAGGCATCACATGACCGGACCTGATTTTACAACATTTTTTGTGGTGGTTATTAAGCCAATCACCACAATTGTTAAGTGAATAACATGGTTCCCCATTGATTTTGCTTCTCAGAAGCTGGCTGGGAAGTTCGCAAATGGTTATCACGTGGCCCTAGGACTCTGCAACTGTTGTAAATACATGCTGGTTGCCAAGCACCCAAATTTTGATCATGTTACCGTGGGGACACTGCAACAGTCGTAAGTGCGAGGACCAGTCGTAAGTCACTTTTTCACCATTGTAACTTCGAACGGTCACTAAACAAATGGGTGTAAGTCGAGGACTACCTATATGGACTGAAGTCCAGAAAAGTAGGCTCTGGGTATTGGTGGGATTAGTTCTTCCAGCAGCATCTGTTGGGGAGGTATCAAAATCTGCAAAATGGCAGGTATGACATTGTAATCAAAGCCATTCTCTTTTTGTATATGTAGAGACTTTGCCCACACACATATACAAGAGGTGAGGCTTTGAGTGTGACATTGTACCTAGCATCTTGCAGGTTTTCATCTCCCACTAAAAATGACCATGAGTTCTCCCTAGTCTGTGTGTTTGCTCTTGGCTCTGGGGATTTAGTAGCTTCCGTCTTCATCCTTGGTTCATCCTCTTTCTTTGAAGGTGAGTCATCCAAGGAGACCACAACTCTGGCCATTCTGTTATTTTCTAAGAATGCCTATGGGGGCTCCAAGGCTTTCTGGAAAATAAAGTTATTTTGCTTTGCTTGTATTGCCAACTTTTAATAAATGTTTGAAGTTAAAGCAACTAAAAAATGGGGTGGGAGGCCTGAGAAAGGAATCAAATGTGTGTTTATCTTGGCACCTGTGGGCACCATGTTGGGGATCCTGAGCATAGAAGTTCAGGAAACAGTTCTCTGCGTAAATGAAATAGATTTCATGTGTAGTAGTAAATTAAACAGAATTAACAGTACCAGACCAAAAATGCTGTTTTTGTTTCCATCCTGAAAAGGGAGATCTGGTGTATGTCAATTATGGACGCACTGAAGACTTTCTCAAGTTAGAGCGAAAAATGGGAATTAATTGTACAGGAAAGATTCTCATTGCCCGATATGGAAAAATATTCAGAGGAAACAAAGTGAGTTATAGCATCTATTTTCATTCTCTCATACCTCCTCTCCTACGTTTTCTCAGTGAAAATCAATACCACTCAAAGAAATATTTTATTGTCTTTTGTAGAGCTTTATTTAAATACTGCATATATGTTTTCAAAAAAGAAAAAGATCAGAAGTGGATAACAATTAATTAATTGGACATTGAATTTTTGAAAGCTTGTGGTACGTAGGCCTCAAATACAGTTCAGTCATTTGCGGTGGAATGTTTTATGGGAAGCCAGATGGTGTTTTACTAAATCATGGGAATCAGGCCATTATGTTAAGCTGTAGTATAGGTAAACTGCAGTAAAGACATGGGTTTGCCAGTAGTCCAGAATAGTGCTATTCTGAATACCAGTTGATAATCGGTGTCCTTTTGTGAACACACCAAACTTAATCTTGATTTCTTATATGTGGACTTTGTCAGCTCCCCCATCTACCAGGTTTTCCTGACATACACACATACTGTACACACATACACACACACACTTACCTAGTTCTGGTCCAAGAAGCCAACTGTGCTTATCTCTTTTCTTCTTGATCTCTTCTTACAGCACAGGTGGGCCATTTGTGGTCCCCAGACTTCCTTGAAATGCACAGTTGAACTTCGCAGCGCAATTGCCTCAAGTAGGCAGTGTGTATTTCCTGCCTTTTTAATGTAGGAAAAAGCATGTTAGTCTAAGGTACCATTAACAGAATAAAAAACAAAATAAACTCTGAACTTGTATGGTGATTAAAGTGTTGGACTTGGTCTGGGAAGTCCTCACTCAGCTGGGGAGAGAGAGAGACCTGGGCTTCCTCACCTGGGCGTCTTCAGGACAGTTATTATCTCTCAGCCCAATTTCCCCACCCAATTCCTCACCATTTCTGTCATGGTAATAAAATGAGAGAGCCATCTTGAACCCCTTCAGGGGAAAAGTGAGATAAAGACATAATGTAATTTCTTTCCCCCAAACCCAGGAACTGGAACTCAGAATCCAGACCTTGTCCATGTATGTCATGGAGCATTATCCATTTTCTATCCCCACCCCCAAATGGTAGCCCTTGGCTTGCCCCAAGAACATAAAGTCTGGCCTCCGGTCACAGAAAAGTTTGCCCGTCCCTGCAGTACAATAACAGATAAGGAGAATAGCTTTATTTTACCTATCTCCCCGCAAAAAAGATTGCCCCATAATTCTGAGATGCTACCATTTGATTTATTATTTTACTTGCAACGCTCTTCTTGCTTCTCCACAGCTATATCCAAGGGGGAGGGGAGGTAAAAAAAAAAAGGCAGGGTCATATGCATGTGCAAAGGGGTGGAGCTTCGGTTGTGTGGTTGTGACCGCTATCTTGACTTTTCTGACCCAACCTGAAGATGCCTCTGCCCAACCGACAGCATCTTAAAGTGCTCACCCGACTTAGCTTCAGGAAGAGGAGTGCAATCCCTTCCTTCCTTCCTTCCTTCCTTCCTTCCTTCCTTCCTTCCTTCCTTCCTTCC